TTTGATAGGCGTGTTTATATTTACATCTGAAAGATGACATCGATTCCAATTCAGCGCCACTGAGAAATTGCAAATCCGGGGGGTTGCTTTAAATACGTGCTGTTAAGTGCGTGAGCGTTATTTGTCTGTTAAATTTGACACATTGAGTTGATGCTAGCCAAGAATGCCTTTAAGAAGATGAAGAAGCCATTATCAACAGCTCACCGAGTTTGAACGAGGTTGTGTAAAAGGGCTACGAGAAGGTAGATTTTATTTCCACCATATTGCGGAAAGACTTGGCCGGAATGTATTCACTGTGCATGATTGTTGGGAGCAGTGGTCAAGGGATGGTACTGCCTCAAAAAGACCGGGTTCCAGGAGACTACGTAGTCCTACTAAGAGGGAATACCATCGTGTCCGCCGTACGGCTGTAGCGCATCGTACTTCGTTTGCGACAGAAATTCAAGCTACAGTTTATACCACAGTGACACAAAGAACAATTAGAAATCGGTTACTTCATGGAGCTCCAAGCCAGAAACCCTGTAACCTGTATTCCACCGACCTCAAGCTAGAGTTTATTAAAGGACGGAGTGGAGATCTGTTGTGTTTTATGATGAAAGCAGGTTCTGCCTTGTTGCCTGTGATAGCCGTGTGTTGGTCAGAAGGATATCAGAGGAACGCCTGCTACCAAACTGTCTGTGTTCTAAACACACTGAACCTACGCCTGGAGTCATGGTCTGAGGAGCAATTTTCTACTATAGCAGGAGTACTCTCGTACTTATAACAAACGCATTGACTGCAAATTTGTACGTAAGTCTGTTAATTCAACCTATGGTACTACAATTCATGAACAGCATTCAAGGGAGAGTTTTCGAACAGGATAACGCTCACCCTCATACCTCTGTTGTAACACAACGTACTCTACAGTGTTGACATGTTATCTTGTACTGCGAGATAATCAGATCTGTCTCCAATTGAGCATAAATGAGATGACAAAAACTCCAGCATCATCCACAGCCAGCAATGACTGTCCTAGTATTGATACAACAAGTACAAAAAGCATGTAACTGCATACCACAAAGTGACATTCGGCACCTGTAATGACACAATGCTTGCGCGTTTGCAGGTTTTGCCTTCAAAATTCTGGAGGTTACACCGGCTATTCATGTAACACATTTGAAATGCATTTTTTCTTGAGCTTAAATTAACCTATGATCTTGACATTGGTTATGACCTTGTGTATTGTCCAAATCTACAATGATTTTTTCTTGGTGTTGGGATATTTTTCCCGTTAGTGTATTTTAATTTCACTTCCTAAAATTTAAAAATTTAAAGATATATCTGCATTTGATGTTTTGAAGAATGTCTTTGCAATGTAGACATTCTGTACTTTTAACTTGTTTTTGAAAATAGTTTTATGGTTTTCTTAATAATCATAATTTTCGCATTTAGTACCTGTTATCCTCTTTCTGCACTAAAATGTACCACGACAGAACAGTTGAAATTCGCTTCTCTAATATAAGTAGAATTTGGTAATTTAGATCTATAAACAATGACTATTTTAAACAAAAGAACACTTAAAAATTTTCATAATTAGAGATTATATGAATTCTCAAAGTGTTTAAGTTCCCTTTGAACCTGAGCCAGGATTTCTTTAAATATTTTCTGTGCTAGTAATTCTTCTCGATTTATCTTACAAACTAAAATGTGTTGGAAACAAAGTAAATAAAAAAAACACATTTTTATCATTAGCATGGAGTATCATTAGCTGTTCACGTGTTTGATACCCGAATTTTCTTTTACGTAATTAGTTATTGACTTGTCTCCTATTCAGGTTGCTATGGAAACGAAGACATTCCTCACTGGTTCACTGAATTATATCAACTGTAACACAACTTGCCAACAAATGTTAATGTGATAACTAATTTCTTGCTAAACATTTTTACTTGTGTTTTCACATGCTTCTTGAATGCTGACTATTAACATCAGGAACGTGGGATAAAAATGGTTAACGGTAATGGAACCGTTTCTATAAAATATTTCGAGTATTCAAGATTCAGTAAACCAAGTTACTTTTTGACAAATGAGCTTCCTTCTCCCGAAGATGTCTAACTGGGTTGTTTCCTAGAACGATATAAGGTGCCACAAAGCTAAAACCACAAGCATGAGAATTTCGATAAAGTAGTCGAAACAGTAGCTTTCAAGCATTAAGCATTTGTAAGAAAAAACTTGTGTTCTTGCAATTTCCAAGTATCGGATCGCATAGCTAATTTTATTTACATAAAAATAATTGTATACAAATCAAGAAAGTCCTACCATCACGATATGAACAAAATTGTATCCATAAAAAAATAATAACACTTTCAAAAATGAATCTGGTATATTTTTTATGCAATAGCTTGTAAATGTTTTATTGATGTAACATTTGCCAGAAGACTCCAAATTAAAGTGGATGTCGGATTTCAATTGACTGTCATAATGATAATGTCAACCAAATTCCTACAATTGCGCTATGTTTTAAGTTCATAGAAATAAAATTGTAATGAACAGGCCGCACCGTTCATTGGTGTTTGGGAGTTAGAATAAAGATCAGCCATAGTCAGAACAATTCTAGTTTATTATTTCTTTACTAAATTTCGACAATCCAGGTTAGGAAATGGTTAACTTACGTTTAGCACTCTTTTACTATCTGAATTACCGTAATTCTTTTCACAGCTATTCAACCTCTGGTCGATATTATTCAATTATAACTTTTTGACTAAATCGTCAGTTGACAATCTTTAAATATTAAGCAATTAATTGTCAAGGCACTCTCGACTAGCTTTCAACAACTTTCCGTTAATCACTACTAATTTATATCATCTAACTCCTAACCTCTCTCTCTTACCTAAAAGTTAATGCTTATAAGCCTTCGTTTACATAAACCGTGTCTTCTTCGGGAGAAAATTTTCAATAGAACATTTAAAAAAATTAATTTCCCCAAGAGGATTAGTGCGAGGTTTACGGATATACCCGTTACAAAGTGTGAATTGGAAAATTTGGTATAGTTGAACATACACGAAACGAATACTTAAATTAGCAAAGAGGTCTTTAAAGACGAACAAAGAGCACACAAAGAGACCCTTCAAAGTACTTCGAGAGGGAACCCAACAAACCAAAATACGCTGTTGCCGAGCAAATAAAAGTACATAGAGAATCTAATGTCTCAGATAATGATGATGAGCCTCCGGTGTGGCCCCTGTAAAAAAAAGAACCAGTTGTAAATGAAAATCAAACTAAAAATAATATTATTAATAAGTGATGTTATATATGGGATCTCTAATCGAGCAAAAGTTTCTATCATATCTTCTGTCCTTCAAGATTATTTGTGATAAATGACTCAAATACAAATTTTCGAATCTTTTCCAGTCATACCCAAGTGGTGGAACAATACGTCATTCAAGCTTTTGACAAGTGAGGTTGGTGCTGAAACATGAGATGTGGCATCTTCAGGATGACTCTTCTTATCAATAATATAATAGCTGAAATTTCTCAAAATTCAGGAAGAGTATTACTTGAATAAAAAATGCGAATAATTTCATATATTATGCTTAAAAATACTATGCTTATAACATGTCCAATATAGATTATTCGAAAAGTAAATAGGTTTAGCACTTAATAAATTTTGCTTATTAACGATGAAAAAATAAAGTCAAATAAAATAATGAGATATTGCAAATCGAACCAAAAATATGGTTTAGGGGCTTTTTACACGAACAATAAGTGAAGACTCTAATTGATTGCGTAAATCTGTTTTAATAAGCACTTCTTTTGTCTAGCTGAAGTATTGCAACCTCACGCATGTTTTTTGATGGAGCATTTCTTTGAATTTCCTTGTTTTCAAAGACACGTCACCTTTGTTAAAACTATGCCCATCATATTCAAGAAAGAGTTGATTTCAAAATACATGGATTCCATTTTCCACCGAATTAGCATGCTTATAAAATATCCAGTTATGTTGCTACACACCATGACGTTGACAAGAAAATTGGCTCTTAGAGAAAACAGATTGAAAGTTAAAGAAAACTCATACTAACCAATCTTCATCATTTTATCTGTAATAAGAAGTTTCTGAAATTCCATGTTGTATGAATTTAACAGTCATAATGATATCAAATAAAAGATTTATATAGAATCATAAGAAAGACAATGTTATTCCTTTATCATGAAAAAACGGCTTAATCCTGCAAAAATTTGATATGTTTTTTCTGCCGCATCGCATTTTAAACTATGTCATATCACTTAATGAAAACAGTGTAGTTATTTTTAAGAGAGTCTCTCATATATATATATATATATATATATATATATAATAAATCAGCGAATAATGTATGTATAACATAGAGTAGCATAGTATTCTAATCAAACAATATAACACGATAGATCATTTTTTGAGTAAGTATCTGGACTATAGTAATACTTGAGTTCTTTTTTCTTTTTTTTTAAAAAATACCAGCTTTATTATCTAGTTATTTTGTAAATTAATTTCGAATAAATAATTTGTAATTCAATGATTATTGTTATATTAATTACTAATTTTAATGTAATGCGCCATATTTGCTAAATTTCAACACTTTTAAACTCTTGACAATATTATTTCATCACTTCACTGAAACAGGTTAGGGATTTGATCAAATCACTTACTTTCCTTAGGGAAATCACCTTACAGAGTTCTTATTTTAACATCTTGTGTAAATTGATCATCTACCTTAGGGATTTCATGAAATCCCTATTTTTTTTAATCATTTCCCTGCGACATATATATTGATGTAGGAAGTGATAAATATATTAACTGTGATACATTCTGACTGGAATTCATCAAATATTGCTACAGATCCGTGACATTTTTTTTGGTGCTTTTATTTAGTGGCTTATCATTTTCCATAGATATTCGATTGGTGAAAGTTCTAGTAAATTTATTGGAGGATTATAAGTTAATAATTTGGTTAAAGTTCAAATTCATAAAATCACAACAAGAGGTCACCCATCTGGTATAGTTGTTAGTAACGCTGACAACTGCGCTGTAGAGCCTGGGTTCGAATCCCGGAGTGGGTGTTTGTAAATGAATAGTGCCTTTGCGGCACGGGCCGTCGAAAAGCAAGTCCTCTCTTAAGATTGGTGGAAGGAGAAGAGAGATTGGAGGCCCCTGACCCTTCCCTGGGTATTCTCCCTCAAGGTTGGGATTAAACAGAGTTAAATTGTACTGTCACCTGCATGGTGTTCAAGGCTGCGGCCAACGACAGGCGTACATCTAGCCCCTTGCCATGATGAATTTCGTGGACCTGGATCTGAAGCAGTCGAGATCAGGTGGCCTAAGAAACAACAATAAGATGGGTACCACGAATTTTATATGCAAATGAAAAGGAGGCAAAAACAGAGATTTGCCGGAGACATTTGAATTCCTATGAAGTAGATGGAGATGAATTTGTGAGGCTAATTTTTACTTGTGTCGAACATTGAGTCAATCATTACACACACGGAACAAAGCGGACCAGTACAGAATAGCGCACAAAAAGTGGAATTGTTCCACTAAATCAAAAAGAATCGTCTATTAATTGCAAAAAGTATTGCTATTGTTTTTATAATTCAAAAAGAACTGAATAACCTTCTTTAGAACAATGCAAGATCCTAACAACAGGTGTATCATAGGATGAACAAAATAAAATTCACCGGACGCAATACTAGTACATCCACCCTACAGCCATGTTTAAACAGTTTGTGAGAAATCTTCAGAAAAGCTTTAGAAGGAGAAATGTTTTCATCGAATAGATAAAGTAGAACAGAAGAACTGGGGTATGCAATTAGCTTCGTCCACATGCGACTTCTTTTTATCATATAGGATTTTTAAAAATCCAAACACATTGGAAAACTATATCGATCTTGAGGAAGGATGTACAGAAAATAACATTGAAATAAAAATGTTAAATATTATTCTAGAAAAGATATTTTAAAAATATTTAACATATATTTAATCCATCTTCGTATAAGAAATGAAATACAGAATACAACGCAGCAAAAATTATTAGAACAATTGGAAGTAGTAGGAGAAGCTCAAGGTGCTTTTAATAAAATAACTATAATTTTGAAAGTTTATTTGCAGAATGTTGGGTTATGTATATGTATACAAAATATGAATTTCTGATTTTCTGAGTCCTAAAACTAAAGTACTGTGATAGATAAAGAAATTGAAAAGCAACTTGAATCAATTGAATTCTACTTATTTGGGAACTTAAGCTGATTGAGTGGTGACATAATCTCTTTTCTCTCTCTCTCTCTCTCTCTCTCTCTCTCTCTCTCTCTCTCTCTCTCTCTATATATATATATATATATATAATAGAAAATAATACAAACAGATTCGAATTAAATTTCGAACATGTGCTATTCGAACATAGAGTTTAATTTAAATTCTGAAATCAATTGTTCATTAGAATTCAGATTTTTTTTCTTCGGAATTCGAATAATATAGTATATTATATTCCGAAGTTTCTAATTTTAAAAATAATTTTTTTAATTTCAATTAGACATAGATTGAAATGAAAAGCATGCACTAATGATCCCAAGATTGAAAATAAAATATGATTTTAGGAAAGTATCTTTCACTAGAGAAATATTATATCAATTTATGTACTTCAATTTTTTAAAAAAAAATAATTAGCATTGTTTTATAGGCATAGATTTCAATTATTCTCACGATGTCACATGATCTTACTTCGCATTAGTTTTATATTAACGAAATTTTATAAATCAATGTCGTAATTTCTATTATAGAAGTATTAGTGGTACTGAAACAACTGATGCTACTATATTAATCTTTTTTTTCTTCATATGGGACATTCTAGATATACTTACATTCTGATTCCTTAAAATTTTTTATTTATATCTCGATTTATTTATTTCAATTTAATGTCCTTTACTGCTTATTGTAAAAGCCAAAATACTTTTCTAATTGAGTTACACACACAAGGCTTTTTTCTCTCCAAAAAATCTCCTCTTGCTGGTAGTAATTCATTCTGTATTATTTTGCAGAACTTTCTGGTTTTCTCTGTTCCTCTCATGGTGTGAAATCTAACAACACAAGAAGACATGAGCCCCATATCACCACCTCCGTCGTCTGCTTTATTGTGGGCTTCAGATACTGAGACTGCTAAATTCTGTATGAGTGTGTCGTCTAACATAAAAACTATTTTTGCTGCCTTTAGTGCAAAATTGACTTTTATCAAATATTATCTTTCCTAAGTCTTTAACAGTCCATAATGAATGATACTTTGCCTGTGCACCAATTAGTGAGTAATCGTTTTGGACGAGCTCTTTAAGGCTACACGGTACCCTTTTTCAAAAAAATTTTTTGGAGACAGTTACAGTAAAAATAATTGATGTTTTATATTTAGATTATATTATTAAGCTGATTCTGTAAGCAAAAAGTCAGTTTGACCAGCCATTATTTAACAATTTTAAAAAATTAGGAATTTTTGAAGTTTTTTCAAACTCTTATAAAATACTCAATTTTTAAAATTTTTTAGTAATTTTAAGTTATTTATGATTATTAGATTATTACAAACAATATTTAGTATGGATTTGAAAATCTATTCCCTTGTTGATTTTTAATAATTATCTTTCTAAAAAAACCTGAAAAAAACACGAAAAATTTTAAAATATCAACTTTAGCATTTTTTAGAAAAATAACTAGAGTTCTCAGCCCTAAATCCATACTAACTTTTATAGAACATACATTTGGAAGTATATACAAAAAATTTCAAGGCTCTATCTTGAACAGGAAAAAAGCCTTAGGAATTAGAAAATACTTATACCTTCAAAATTAAAAGTCTGAGAAAACGCATTTAAAGTTTTTAAAGTCATAAAACAAAAACTTATAATGCCCGTAAAACTCTAATTTTTTAATATGTTATTTTCCAATGTATGTTCTACATTAAAACATTATTTTTATTAAATATGACTGAAAATTATATTTTTAATTCGAAATATATTTTTGCATAATATTGATAGCATTTGTTAAGACGTCAGTTTATTCAGCTTTATCTTAACCTAATATTTCACAAAAGTTTTCAAGCACGAAGCATTTATGTACAAAATAATAATGATACTAACTTAAGCTAAAACTAGTCAGGTTTGCTCATAAAATTTAATTTTTTTCAGTTTTAAATTGGGCAGTTTAGGAAGTTTTAACTCTTGTCGTACGACTTTAAAATACTAAAATATAGTACAACAATATGTTTAGTATAATGTAGTTTGGTACAGCAAGGAAATATTCAGTTATGTCTGCAACATTTTAATTCAGAATACTTGTATTCGGAAGTCTAATTGCAGAATCAGCTGAGGACTAATTTTTAGATACATTATTTTCAGTAGTATTCCATCTCTTCGAAATATTGTTTCTCACAGAAACCCAGAACGCATTTACCATGGCATTTTCTCTATAGGAAAAATTAATGATAAAGCTTTTAAGTTATATAAACCATTTTTAAAGCAAAAATTGGCCATGAAATTAATCTTTATTAATTAATTATGAGAACTCAAAAATCTCAAAACATAATAAAGCAGAAATGATTTTAGTAATGAGAAAATTGGAATTAATAACCATTTCAAACTAAAAGCTCAAAAATGTTTTTAATTAATTCAACTTAAGTGTGAAAAAATGCTTTAAAAGGAAACCGAAACCAAACCCATAGCTCATAAAACTTCAAATATCTTAAAAACTAATTCTCTAACAGATCTGAAATTTCGTGGCAAGCATCTCAATGATATGGGCCACCAAAACATGCAAAAACAAAATTTTCGGTAAAAATGAAATTTTTAGGGTAATGTGTAGTCTTAAAACCTTGTAATCTAATTTTCAACAGTTTTCCTCTTACAATTCATAGACACACACTCTCATTGATGTCAAAATACATTATTTCAAAGTTTTAGGTGAAAATATACAATCTATTTATTTAAAGAGAAATAATTGCAAACCCAGAATACTGACGTAAAGTTCTTTTTGAAAATCGTCCAGATCTGCCCTGTTCGTAAACAATTTGTGTTTCCAAATATTTTTCAACATTGTGATAGTACATATTTTCACATGGTACTTCAGCAACAATTTGGAGCGTAAAATAACATTCTTCCTTCTAAAGCTTTATTTTGTATCTTTCTTTTTTTTTATGGCAGAAACAAAAATTTACCTATAACTCCAATATTATCCACCCACACGTAAGGCACAAACGCAAAACATAAGAGATGAAAGGAAAGACAAAGTGTTTATTGATAGCATTGTTGACAAGTGTAATGTTTACAACAACTATTCATAACTGTTCAGCACATGAGCTATGAAGCCCAGCTGCAGCGCACATTGCTGTACCACCCACTGGCAGTCGGAGAAGATAGTCTGCCGGATTCAATGTTTGTACTCGCAGAAAATGGAAAAAGGAGTAATCGATTTTCGTTTAACCCTTCTACAAACGGTCTGATGACAAAAGCAAAGTGATGAGCAACAGTTCTTGTACTTGACTCTGGTCTATCAGCCACAACGTTCAAGATTTTTTCTTCCAAGCTTGGACTGCGTACATCTCTTCGACGACCAGTATCACGTCTGGTGACGAGGAATGAACGTATTTCATGAAGTTGACGATTTACGATTAAAATTACTTTACGGAATTTTCAAGACTCTGTTGACATTATTAGTAAAGTTACCGAATCTAAAGAGACACTTCTTAGCTCTTGTTTATCCCTTTTGCAAGAGTTAAACCCCATTAAAATTAAATATCGACTAATTTATGTATATTAAACTTGGCGACAATATAATATGACATCAATTTTATTTTGTTTTATTTTATTTTTAAAATATAATCAGGGCTTCCATGCATTTCCTACTTTTAATAAATTGATTAATACAATGCTTGAACAGCGGAATGAGGCAGCAGAATGGTTTTTACCATTGCAGACCTAGTACATTCCCCTGGAGCTCATATCACTTTCTAGTTTTTTACTATATAGGAGAGAGACTAATTGTGTAACAAGTAATTTTGACGCTTAGCTTCCTCTCTAGAGAGAGGCACCAA